AACCCGCGTTTACACACGCTCAGTGTGTCGTGTCTGATTGCATTTGTGGGGCAAAACGTCCTGAAAATATTCTGTGGACGGATGAGACAAACGTAGAAGTTGTTGTCCTGTTACATTTGGTGTGAAACATACCGTTTCAGGAAAAGAAAATCTTAAAAAAAAAAAAAAAACATGTTGATCCATCTGGTTGTCACAGTTGCAACTTCTTCTGTGTCAACAGGATTGAATGCAGGAGTGTTTTCTGATGGGTTAAAAGGGCATTTCATTTCTAGCTTTAAACTGAAATGATGTTAGAGCTGAAATTTCATGGAAGTGAGTTGTTTTTGCTGTGTGCACTCAGGGCTGACACACTTTTCATCTTGCCAATCACTCTCGTACCTCAAGGCATTTCTTCTGTCATGTTTCTGGACAGTGGCAGGAAGCTGGAGTACCAGGAGTTAACCCATGAATACACAGGGAGAACATGCAGCCTCATGCAGAAAGAACCCAGGCCTTGAATCCATCCTGCAGCCCCAATTTGAAAGTGTTGATTCAAATCTACAGCTGAATTTGACTAGGCCATTATAATACAAACATGATGTGTTGATTTAAATGAGTCATTCTCAAACCTTTTTTAAGCAGCTTCTGTATTAGTAAAAGCCAAGATTTCCGATTTCTGGAGAAAACAGGATAGCTAAATATTTAGCTAAATTAAATATGTAGATTTGTGTCTAAATATTTAGGTTACCAGTTAAATATTTGGTTTGCTAGCTAAATATGCAGGTCCAATTAAATATTTAGCTTAGAAGCAATATTTATCTTGCCTGGAATATTAAAATAAAAGCTGGGTTTTGTGTGTCTCTATATAAACTTCTGAATCTTTTCAGTCATTGCTCAAGTGATGCTTTTTTATATCCATTCATTTTTTAACAACATATCCAACATGTTAGTTGAAAACGTAGGTAACACCAGAATCTACGTAGACATGGAGTCAGAACACTTCCTGTTCATGTTTAATTCACTCTTAAGTTGCTTTAGAGAAGCTGAAAAAGTTTAAGGCTTTCTATTTATTCCTTTGTGTCATGATTTGTGGTTTGTGGTGGTGACTGATCACGGAGAAAGGTAGCCTCAGGACTATCCAGTTCAACTGAGAACTAGACACACCTGGGAAACAATTAGGGAGCAGACAGGACAACACAGAGACTCAGGATCACAATAAACACAGAAAAAAAAAATAAATAAACACAGAAAACTCAAATCCTAAAGCTATGAAAGAGAAAATGATCTGTTTCACATTGAAGCAAATTATTTCAACACCAGATGGGAAAATATCCGACTTTCCAGAAGCTCATCAAAGTAAGGCCTCTGGAAATGGATCGAAGCTGAAGGTGATCCAACTAAATCTAGTATTAAATAGAATGAATCTATGGCAAACGTTTTCATCTTAAATGTTTGCATCAGAACAGTAAAATCATAGTTTAGAAACAGTTGAAATCTCACAGCTAAGCTCCAGTTGAGCGCTGGTTAATTTTCCCCTCTGCACTTCTTCTCTTAAGCAGTTTCAGTCTGAAGTTGACATCAGTGTTTTTGTGCAATTCATCTTTCCGACTGTAGGGGCTCATTAGCTTTACATCCCCAGTCTTATTTAGTTCGCAAATAAATTACACCACACTCAGGCTCACATACGAGTTCAAATCTCAGTGAGATCGCATTACATTTGGAGTTGTAATGCGACAAAACATGCACAGACCCCTGTACCTTGCCGCGCTTTTACAGCGGCGCTTTAATTTTGTGTCGACCTTAATTGCCAACCATCTGTACGTTGGTTCAGTCATCCGTTTTTGCAGCCAGGATTTCAGGTAGCGGTCTCAGCGGTGGGGAGGTTACCAGATGTTCCCCCCCGCTCGCCGTAATTTCCTCCAGCTCGCTCCGAGGAACAGGCGGTGTGCTGAAGGAACGGGCTTCAACCGGCATCCAAACACATGGCCTCAGAAATGAAAACCGACGTGCGATTCGAAACAGAACCAGATATTAAAATGCTGTGAGAGAGAGAGAGAGAGAGAGAAATCTGCTCCCACAAGTGACATCTGCTCTCACCTTTCAAGCTCAGTTAGGCAGAGGTCAGTGGCCAATCACAGCAGATTGGGGTGAAATTACTGGAATAACTGTGCTGATAATATCCTCTCACTGCAGCAGCCACATCAGACTCACTACATGAGAGCAGAAAGAATAAACCTGCAGAGTCGCTAACAGGATGGGAAAAGATGTGAAACTGAAACGTTTAGCTTTCGAAGGGAAGCTGGATGATGAGGATTATGAAGAGTGAGCTGAAGGCAAAACTCCCCCCAAAAAACTACAGAAAACAAGCAAGACGACAATAAAATAAGAGATACAGACGGTGAAAAAAGGTCCTGACAGCTGCTATTATCTCCCTCCTCCATCATCTGTCACCAACAACAGCACTTCTACCACTTCCTCACATTAATATTATACTAACACCACCTGAGGCTCAGCAGGGTGAAAGACCTTAACTTTTCATGAAGGAATATATGAAAAATAACTCGATTGAAACTTGGAGATTATTACCTAAAGCTGGTGAAATGCACCAAATCACACACACACACACACACACACACTCCGATCCATCCATCTGACGCCCGGGGCAGGTAGAGAGGAAAACGAAAGCTTGATGTTATTTTCAGGGGAACATTTGATCCGGGGTTAGCTGCTCTCTAGCTGCTTCCTCATTGGGCTGAGTGAAATTCCTGGAAAGAACAGGTGAGGAAGGTTTCCACCAGAAAACTTGCTAAGCCTGGTGGTTGAGTGTGAGGGCAGTTGTTCATCCTGCAGCCCGTCATATTTTTGAGTTTAAAGAATGTCTATATACGACAGGACATTTGAAAATACCACTTGATGATTATGTGGCATTGAAAGATTTGAAGATTAATACCTGAACACCAACTATAAAATGCAAACATTTTAAAAGGATGTAAAAAAAGAAAAAAAAAGCAATGCTAAGTCTGGTGGGGGCAAAAGTAAAGCCTGGTGGCCCGCCAGGCTTATAGTAGACTGAGGGAAACCCTGGGAAACGCACAGAAATGTGAGATGATGGTGAATCTGGAGGTAGAAGATACAGATAAACAGGTGGAAAGTGACAAATTCATGTTTTTTAGTGTGTGATGGAAAGTTTCAAAAAACAAAACCTGTTACAGAAGAGCTGAGACTGAAACGGGAGAGACTGGTTCAGATGAAATCAGATTCATGTTAGAATGTCCCAGTCAAAGGTGCTTCTACATTTAATAATGTCTCCTCTATAGCTTGTAGTTCATTTGTTTAAAAATAAAATAAAAACAAAGAGATACAGAGAGAGAGACTTCACTACGTTGTGCTGGTCTAATCTCACAAAACCCCAGTAAAGATCACCGAAGTTTATGGTTGTGAGTGAAAAAGAAAAGTTGTTGCAGGATTCTGTTTTTGTTCAGTCCAGATAAGAGCTGACATCTGCACAGTTTGACTCCAGCAGAAATGTGAAGGTCTGAACCAAACATGCCCTCTTAGTACTGGGCAAAAGTTTTCCACTGATGGAACTTATAGATTTTTCTTTTTTATTTATTTTTTTATTTTATGTTGTTGTTCTTCAGATTTTCTGAAAGTCCAGAACCTGATTGCTGTCGAGATGTATTTACCAAGCAAGTAAACACTGACATATAATTTATCCAAGTATAAAATTGCCTCTAATTGTATGCACTTAGTTACCAACAACAGTCTGTTACATAATTTGTTCCATTATTGCGTTTATAAAACATGGTTTGACAGAGAGATGTTTTTACTGGAACAAGTAGATAAATGGTGTTGAGCCAAAGGCCAAAACTTTCTGTGCAATTTGTCCTTCGTTTATTTATTTATTTTTTAAGCAAAACACATTTTTGTTTTTATTTATCTGGTTTCTGAAGTTCCTTTAGTGGGACACACTGCAACATGAAGCATGTCAAAACATTTAACCTTTTCTATGATTCAAGAAAAACAACATAAAAGGCGACAGAAGAGATTTTTAGGCCATATTTGTCCATTTTAGGGACAAAAGTGTGTTCTAATTTATAGCTGAATGTTATCTAAAATGACTAAAATAGTAATGCTCACTTAAAGTCTTCAAATGGAGTTAGCACGTGTATGGAGAACAGAAGAGAACCAAGCAGTGGTTCCTGTGGAACACCTAATTATATTTAATCCACTGACGCTAACAAACCCTCACTGTCCAACTCGTGATGGTGTGATCGATGATCTGTCGGTGTGGATCAGTGGAACTGTTGTGGGGTGTTTTTTCTTTTCTCATTATTTGTCCCAGCGGTGGCTCAGCAACTTTTACGCTTTTCCGACACCTCAAAGTGTCGAGTCAGCGTGCAGAAAGCAGGAAACTGACTGAGGTGGCACTTTGAACACGGCCTCATGGTCATTTCTCAGCAAAAAACCCGCCGAGCAAATCCGTAACTATAAATGCATTTAGACTTTGGGAACAGTTCTGAATAAGCTAAACCCTGACCACGCTCCATGTCGTGTATAAAACACAATTTTCTTCTTTTTTTTGTGGTTTAAAAAAATGGCAGAGTGACTGAGGGCGAAACGTAAGAGTCACTGTATGAGTTACTTCCAATTTAAGGAAGTAAAAAAGGTTCTGAAGAAGAGCTTCACTTGCTTTGACTGTGCCACTGTTCCCATGATATAACACTGTGTCTCTGTCTGTACTGTCTGCCTCTAAAGCTGGGTTTCCATCCAGAGATATTCTCAAAAATGTGAAAGACCTGATGCACTGTACTGTTAAAGAAAAAAAGAGTCCATGATAAATAATTTTCCATCTTTTATTACTGCATTTATTAGAAGTCAGACCCTGGTAAGCCTTTTGTTTTGCATACGCATGGCAGAGTTTTAGCTTGAATCAGTCTTTCATTTTACGGACATGTTTATTCCCATTTTAATCTTCAATTAACAACCAATTTATTTATTTTTTTTATTTCAACCTATTAAATCACAGGAAAAGCTAATAAATGGATTTAATTCACTAGCATTTTCAGACAAAAGTCAGTAAATGTCACATCAAACCAAACTGGTTCAAATAATTCAGGCACAACCTTCCAGTTTTACTTAACTTAAATCGTCCCTGTTTGTTTCTGAACGTCCCAAAGACGAGTTTGACATTTGGATGGAAACTTTGTGCTTCATTTTCTCCTGCATCTATTTTTTATTTTTTTTGTTTTTGTCACTTTCAGACTTTCACTTCCTGCATCCTGCTTCTTTTTTTCACCCCATTTATTTTCTGCTTTTCACTCCTCTGTGTTTTGTGGCTGTTGGGATTGTTTGCACACAGTTTTACATTCTTCTGCCTCTATCTGTCCTTTCTTTATCCTGCCTCTTTGCCAACTCTTCCCACCTCTCTGCCTCTCTCTGTCCTCTTCTTCTTCTTCTCTTTCTTCCTCTGTCTTTGCCTCTCAGATCACAGTGAGTGTGGCTCAGGGGCGCGTGCGGAGCCCCTCCCCTCAGCCTCGCTATAAAAGCTATGCCTACACCCAGGCTGCATATGTCAAGTCGCCAGAGCAAAAGAGGAGACGCTTTACTGAGCAGGTCCGTGTTTCACATCGCTAACGCTTCAACGCTAACATTTGTCTGTCCGTGTTTTGGCTGAACATCTGTTTCTTTGTTTGTTTGTTTGTTTGTTTTGCTGTCATTGACAAATGTCTATAAAAACTAGTCTGAGAATATATTTGGAAACTCGTAGCTTATTGAAATCATGATGAAAATGTTCATTATCTGATTCTAATTCAATTAAGTTCAATTTTAAAAAATCTTGGAAATCATATTAATTCAAAATTCTTCAATTGGTTTCTGCATTAAGTCATGTTTAAATTTATCGACCGGTTGTGATGCTCCCATTGAGAAGAAAAAAAAAACTAAAACTAACAACCAAAACAGACAGTTCGGACGTTTTTCAAGCATTAGTTGGAATTTATCGTCACAATGGTAAATCAAAATTCTTCAGAGAAATTTATTACAATAATCAATCAGTCAAGTTTATTTGTGTAACACGTTTCAGCAACAAGTCATAGAAACACAAAAATACAAAAAAATACAGTCAACAAGTGAGAAAACCAGAGACAAACATCATGTTTTGACGAGTACCATCATCAACACACATCATCAGCGACGTCGGTCAACTTTTCATTTATTTTGGTTCAAAAGCAGGAGGGACGGGTGGTTGAAGGGGTTGAGTCCACCTTTCAACCAACTCAGTGTTTCTTCTGTTTTCTGCAAGTTTTCCTGATTCCTCTTCCCTAAAATAAAAGCTGTTCTGATTGTATTGGGATGCAAAAAAAAAAGTTAATTCATGCTCATAATTTACTTTAAAAAGCATTACTTGTGTAGGTTGATTAGAGAGTGATTTCTTTCCATCATGTTTTGTTGTTGTTCATTTTGATGTTTTTGATCTGAAGCTAATGAAAACCCAAAATGTATTTCTGCCTGAGCACACGGATCTGATTCACAGGTCCTGAACTTGGTACTCGGTTGGAGCTCCTTTTGCATGATTTCCTGATCAGTAGATTGTTCCAACACCAGCAGGGTCGCCATGGTGCCAAACGCCATCATTGATTCTGGAAAGCTGAGGGAACACCCTGAACCTGAAGTAGCTTCCTGTCTCTGCCTCTACACTCTTCCTCCAGACTTCTGGATCTTTATTTCCAAATGAAGTCCAAATTTTACCAAACCGTTTTCCTTTCCACTTCCTCAGCAACGACCATCTGTGACTCTCCCTCCTAGTGGAGGGTGTCAATGACTGTTGGCAAGACAACCGTTGAGTGGGCAGTGATTGTCAGCCACTTTCTGATAAAATGGATCTTGGGTTGTTTCCCTGTTTAAGTTCAATTACTATTTTTTTTCTTTTAGTAATGTAGTTGGAAGTGCACTTGTGTTTGAAATATGTTCATTTCATTTGGTGTGGTGGACATTTTCTGCTGCTCTGCTGATCTCTACGTTCGAAAACCAAACATAGGAATTCTTAGTTTCCCCAGAATACTGCTAAATTTTTCCTCGTCTCCCTCTAATAGCGCAAACATTATCTGTCGTCTCATCTTGGGAGTTGCTAGTAGAGTTCCAGCCCCGACTTTTATCTCCTGTCGTAACCAGGTGTCGACTCTTCTTCACCTAGAAGAAATGCAAAATAGTCCCAGATAAAAAAAACAAAACAAACTAAACTTTTTTTGAATGGAACGTGAAACTCTTCAAGTTTTCATTTATCTAGGATTATAACTTACATCTAGTGAAAATGCATTATAATTTTTTTTGCATTAATTCAACAGTACGTAGAGCGCAAACACTTCAGACAGGAAGTGGGATTGTGAGAGAGGAATGGTTGTTGAAGCTGAACTTGCCACCTTTCCTTCTCTCCGTTTGTTCTCTCCTACATTCTGGTCATGCTCCCTGCATTTTGTTCCTCTAATGTCTCCCCATCTCCTCCACATTCACCTAATGTCTGTTTTCTCGCCCCATCTCCTCCTCTCCCTTTGCATCCTGTTGCGTTGTTTTCCTCCGTTCATCAGTTCCTGACCCGCAGCCAGGAGGAGCTTCAGCGGGGCCTCAGTCCTCTGCCTCCTGGATCCACCAGCCTGGAGAGCTACCAGGCTTCACTGGAGGAGGTAAAAAAAAACTTTAAAAAAACTGTAGCAACGCTCTCATATCATGATTGTGCTAGAAAGTTTCACTATGTGGCTTGGAAATACATAATACTGTCCCTTTAAGAATCTGTGGTGAGACTTTAAAATAACATTTCTCTTTCCTTTTCACAATTACACGACTGTATGTTGCTCTATCACATATCATCTTGATATAAGTTGAGTTTGTGGTTGCAATGTGACAAAACGTGACGAACTTCAGGGTGTGGGAATGTCTTAGCTGTGTTGTAAATAAGAGTTGTAATTTTAAAACAACAGGAAACTGCTGAGTGTGACATAAACGCAAAAACATTCCTCTCACTCCTTCAGTAACTTGTTGAGCTCTGCTTCCTGAAGGTGTTGACGTGGCTGCTGTCGGCAGAGGACGGCCTCCACGGCCAGCCCTCCATCTCCAGCCATGTGGAGGAGGTGAAGGAGCAGTTCCACACGCATGAGGTAGGCGGCGCCAGAGAGGAGCCAAACCCTTAATTGAGCTTTTTCAATCGATTGGAAGTACGTGCGATATATCGCCCACTCTCTTCACCAGGGCTACATGGTGGAGCTGACCACCCATCAGGGCAGCGTCGGCCGTGTCCTGCGGGCCGGCGCCGCCCTGCTGGTGGAGGGTAACCTCAGTGTGGACGAGGACTCTGAGGTCAGGGAGCAGATGAACCTCCTGAACTCCCGCTGGGAACACCTGAGAGTAGCAAGCATGGAGAGACAGAACAGGTCTGTTGATTCTTTGTATATATTCACACAAGCTGAATGGTTAAGCCTTAATAATAAAGAATTGTTTGTTTTAGGAGGTAGAAAAGCCTCTTTAGCGGGCTTTTCTACCTCGCTTCAAATATCTTGAAAAAGACGGCACTTTACTCATTTTTCCCCTCACCGGGGCTTTGACAGTTTTACTGCCTGAATCTTCTTTTTTTTAATTTGTGCTCACAGTCTGCTCATTCGCGACAAGAGGAGGTTACATTTTCTTTTTATGTTCTCATAAAATTGGTCCTTTAGCCGCACACCTCCGTTTTCTTTTAAATTTCCTCCACGCTCAGATATTGGTGAGCAAATGAACACATGTAGGGTTTTCAATGTCTTTCCTGCTGAACTATCAGTAAATGGACAATTAATTTATCACTTCTATAAACATTTTGCAGCCGATTTCCGAAATGAGTTGGCTAACAACGAGCACCAAGGTTTTCAATAGAAGTAACTATTATATGATCTGTCTTTGAAACCTAAAGGACATGAGGTCTAACAACATATTTAATTCAGTCCAGGAACCTAAGCCATATTATAGTGTTTTAAACATTTAAAGTTTCAGATATAACCATCAAACAAGAACTAAGCCAGAACTAAAGTGATTATATTGCTCTTCTGTCTCAATCTACTTGCACTCACTCATCAGTCTTGTCCAAAATGTGAATGAAACCCTACTGATACTGTTGGACCAGTCTAAAAATAATAAAAACCTTATATTTTACTTTCTTAAGTAACTGATTTATAATAGGCTTATTCAAATATCCAGACTTTAACAATATTTCCCAATCACCCACCTTGGCTGTGTTTGTTGGTATTATCTCAGAAACATGTAGGCGCATTGCAACGTGACATCGTGCTTGCAAAATCCGAACTGTTTGCCGACAATGACTAACATTGGTTTTAGCTGTCATTTGTCAACATGCTAATTCTCAAATGTAAAATATAAAATAAAGAGATGCAGTGCTTTGCTACTAATTATCAACTGTACAGCCTCTATAACAAGGTCCAAGGGTTTCCCATTTCACAAGTCATTGAAAAGTTTTAATTAAAAAAAGTTGCAAGGGAGAGGAGAGTAGGTCAGCTATGCTAGCTTGACTTTGAAAATCTTAACATGTAGATATGCTGTGGAACTTGAAATAAGGAACTCTGACAGATCATTAGTGGAGCAGGTGTTTAAATTAGCTAACCAACCACTGATGATTTTCCCATGACTACATATTCTGTTAGCTTTAGCACTAGCTTTCCGTCATTTTACTTATTTCCATCTTTTTCAATATCAGCTCAGAAAATTGGATGTTTGTGACAATTTGATTCAACGCTTAGTCTTCTGGCAGCACTAAAGGGTAAATATATATATAGTATTTCTTTGTGAAATGTAGGCCTGCCTCTCCTTTTGGATGATTAAAATGTTCACCTTTGAAGGACCTTTTTAAAAGCTGACATTTGTAACTTGTCACAAATGGTAAATGAAAGTGGAATATCAGCACTGCTGAGTCAGCACAAATAAATCTTCCTCTAGCCTGTAAGAAAGAAGCAGCACACTCAGTGGAAGTACGTGTTGTCGTGGGGACGTATTTAAAGGAACCCACGGCTGTGAAGTGGAAGGAAGCAGCTGAAATTCAATCTCAGTACAGATTTAGTCTCAGAGATTTCATAGTTGGCATTAGTGAACAGATTGGTTTGGGATGAAGTGCAGAAGTTGAAAGATAAGTTTGGTTGTAAGAGAATATCTCAAGCTTTTAGCATCTCGCAGAAAGCAGATGAACACAAATCGAAACGTTTCGTCACTTTGGCCAAAATCGGCAAGTAAAAAACAAAAATAAGAGGAAAAAACAGGAAAAACAAAATACTGTGATTAATTTTTTTTTGCCTACTCAACAACAATTAACCAGCAATACATTAAACAAGTAGACAGACTTATTTCTTGTAAAAGGATGTGTAAATTTATATTTGCCGGTTTATCTCACTTTGCAAACTTTGAAAATTCTCGACTACAAAAAACAATTTTTGTCACTTTTACTAAAAAGCATACAGCTGACCAAGTTTAACATATTCACTAAAGGCAGATGTTGGTGCATAAAAGCCTGCTGATTAGATGTGTTCCTCACAAAAGAAGGCAAAAATCTACAATAAATACATCTATTTTGCTGAAAACAGCTCTTTGGATTGTAGAAGTTGCTGAACTGGTGCATATAAATACTTAATTTGAAGAAAGTAATCAAATGTCTCTCAGAGTAGAGATCATGTTGGTCCTATTTACTAACCTTAAACAAGAAGAATTTATATTTATGTATGTCGAAGTTTCTGTTACAGTTACTGTATGTTACAGTTTCTGGTCGCAGCTGTTTGTCTGAACACACCAGAAATTTAAAGCTGTGATAAAAAGAGTTTGATCCTTCTCTCCCATCTTACTTTCACAGCTAATGAAGATCTTTACTGCGGCTCACATCAATGAGTACAAAGAGCTGCACTCTTTCTAATTATAGTGAATCCAAGATTAACTGACACTGAGCCAAATTTAATTAAACAGTTCTGCTATCGTCGTTGATAATCTTGTTGACTCGAGCACAGAGATAAGCAGACACAGCCCCCTTGCTGAACAGGGTCTGAATAATAATGATAATAACAGTAATAATTACCTGAAATCTCTGCTTCGACGTTAAAACCCGCCATCTGTCGGTTTTCCGAGCCGCTCTTCAGGAAGACTGCTTTGGGGGATAACGAGCCCAGCCGCTTGACTGACAGGCTTCTGATTCGTTTCCGTCCCAGACTGCATGAAGTCCTGATGGAGCTGCAGAACAAGCAGCTGCAGCAGCTGACCGAGTGGCTGGACGTCACCGAGGCTCGCATCAAGAAGATCAGCGCTCAGCCGCTCGGCCCCGACCTGGAGGACATCAAGCACCAGGTGGAGGAGCACAAGGTGAGAGTGTCACCTGGTCCCACTTTCATCTTCAATCCACACGTTCATGTAAGAGAGAAACACAAAGATAAGATGATCCTTTATTAGTCCCACAAGCGGGAAATTTACGCTGACACAGCAGAACGTGGACAAAAGAGCAACAGAAATGTTAAAACACCACATAGGCGAATCTACAAATACACTGATAATGACCATGACATCCACACAATTTAAATTCTGCCGAACATTTAACATTGGAGCTGGAAGACATTTTAAATATCAAAAATAAATAAACAAAACAACAAATAAAATGAATTATGAAGTCTCTGCAAACAAAATCATCCTTAAAAAAAAAAAAAAAAAAGGTCCAGTTGAGACCAAAACACCAGACTGAAGACAAAAACCATAAATCCTGCAAATGGAAATTATTCAGGTTGTTTTAATTCATCATGTGATTAATTGATTTATTGTTTATTGCAACATGCCTATCACACACACACACACACACACACACACACACACACACACACACACACACACATGTCTCTATTGCTATCTTTGTGGGGACTTTCTATTGACTTCCATTCATTTCTACAGCCTAAATCTTACCTTTACCCTTTTCCGAACCCTAACCAAAACTCAATTCATACCTTAGCCCTAAATCTGACCCCTGACCCAAAAACAGGGTCAGGGATCAGGCTCCAGTCCCCACAAGGAGCAATTGGTCCCCACAACGTAGTATATGTCAGGAAAATCGTCCCAACAAGGTATTACAAACAAACGCGCGCACACACACACACACACACACACACACACACATAAACACATATATGTAAATGTTCAGAGAAATATGTTGAAATAAATCCCAACAGTGACAGTTTAGGCAAATTAAATATTTAGATAAAAGTGTGTACTGCAGCTTTAATAAAGCTGCTGACTGTTGATTATGAGCTTGAGAAATGCATCCGACTTAAAGATATTGTAAGATATTAGGAAATATTCTCATATTTCTATTAATAACAGACATGGACCCAAGATAACATGTAGTCTGTAGTGCTGGTGGATAATATTTCCGTCTCAGGAACCAGGTTTCTGGCTTCTGGCATCAAAACTATTTGGTTGTAATTTCTTAATGACTTCCTGACCTTCTCTGTTAGGCTGAACAAAAAACAAATGTAAGGAATATTACAGACACAGGGAGCCTGAGTGAATAATTATCCAACACTTGGAGACCAGGCATGGTGGTATTCATGCTGCATAGCAGTGACAACACATCTGCAGAATACTGCGCCTGCATATTTTGAACAGCAGCACCTCACTGCTGTCCACTTTGTTTATTCCAGTAAAGAGCAGTCAGGCTGGACTGTTTCACTCCTCGCCTTTCTTCTGCGTTACCTACCTCGTTTTTCTCGGTTCTACTCCAATTCAAAGATCAAATGGTTGACCAAATTATTTTTTCATCACAGAACTCTGTTTGCTTTTTAATTTGACTGTGATTTTTAGGGTTCAGAACCGTTCCGGCAGGGGCTCTCGGCTGCTCGTATTTTCACTTTGTTAAACGCGGCCGTGCTTTTTAAAAAAAGTCCCATCATCTCCGCTCTAATCGCAGTGTGAGGCTGAGCTCTCCAGCTGTGTTAAATGGATTTATCTGGCGCTTTCACATGCCTTTTGAAACCTACGCTTCAAATTAGCCTTCTGTGTGTAGAAGCGGTTGGTGTTAAACTATCACTTAATATACATTTCTCCATATTTTATTTATTTTTTTATCAAAGGATGAAGTGTTCTCGGCATACTAATTGTGAAATAATAGCAGCCAAGTTGAAAAGGACAATTACTCAATGTCATTAGATATTAAATTTAGTGCTTAGCGCAACACAATGATCTGTAGCTTCAGGTTGTGAATCTAAGTAAGATTTACTTGTTGACAGAAGGATCATTAAAGGATTTTGTTTTGCCTTACCTAAACATCTAATTCAGCATCTTAGGTAGATATAAGAGGCAAACTAAAGTCAGGATGTAACATAAACCAAACAAATTTGTTGCAGCTTTTGAAAATAAATCAAGTTAAGAGCTATTAAAGTTATTTATGCCTGCTGATCTTCAGGGTTGTTGGTTCAACTTCTTACCCCTAAAAATCAATAATTATTTCCTGTTTGTCATATAACTATCATACCAGATTGTTGTTTCTGCACTAGCCTGCTTGCTGTTTTAAGTTCCGCCCTGTGCATAAATGCATCATTCCCGTCTGCAAATTTAATAAGATTTCACTCATGTGCAGATGGAAAGTTATGTGTTAGCAGCGGGAACAGCAAGAGACTAAACACACAGCCCTGAGGCATCCCGGTGCTTAGCATGACAGGTTTGTTTTTGTCTGCTAATGACATTTTGTTTGATCATCTGAAACATTCAGCTGCGTCAGCATCGCAGAATAGTGGAAAACTGCAAAGGCGCAAAATACTTTCACAGCTCTGTAACTCTTCTCAGATGAAAAATGTAGCTTTGCAAAACGTTGTATTCCATTTTCCATGCATATGTTTTTGTCTGTTTTGCAGCTCCTCCAGGAGGACCTGGAGCTGGAGCAGGTCAGGGTGAATTCTCTGACCCACATGGTGGTGGTTGTCGACGAGAACACTGGAGACAGCGCGACTGCCGCCTTGGAGAGCAAACTCCAGGCGAGTAAACGGGACTTACCAGCTGCTTTTTGTTTTTTACAAAAAGTAAACTTAGTAGAAAATATTTCTAAATAGACATTGCCAGCAAGATTGCAGACTGGAGTAATGAACATTGTTGTCTATGTTCATTCATTTTCGACACCGATGTGCCACTTCAGCGCCTTGCCATATCCTGCACAGCGCAAAGAATAAGACAGGATTATGCTACAACTCCAGCCATTAATTTTCACATCAGTTTGTTGCTGCTGCTATAATTGAAGCCCGATGCCGGGGCTGAAGCATCATCCCACAGATGGCCGTCTTTGTTCAGGCTTGGCTTCTTCAAGCCAGTTGCTGTCAGATTTATTAAATGGGTTATTGTTGCAGCACTGTTGACTCACAGAGAAATTATTTTTGTTTTGTTGCATCTTGTTTTTGTTTCTTTTGTTTGTTGGAGTACAATCACAAAGCTTCAAGACTGGGACATGAATTTGTGGTGAAGTAGTTTTTGATACCATAAGTCTATACTTAAATTTAAGTGTAGTGATGGACCTGAACCTTCACAGACACATAAAGACAGTAACAAAGTCAGCCTTCTATCATGGGAAGAGCATTTCCAGGATTAAATGACTAATGCCCCAATAAGATCTCGACAAACTCAACCAAGCGTACTTAAATCTTCTTGTTTGTTTTGCGTCCTTACAGTCAGAACCAAACATGGAGGAGCAGCATTCAGTTTTTATGCTCCACTAATATAGAAACAAACTTTTCATTACTTCATTTTTCAACTGTTTTTTTTTTTTGTTTGTTTGTTTGCTTTATCATGTAAGCACTTTGAACTTCTTTATTGTTGAAATTTGTACTTCAAATAAACTACAGACATTATCAATAGTTGTACAATCTGCGTTAGGTTTAAATGCCTGTTTGACAAATCTAGAAATAAATTCTCTAACCTCCGACAGCTGGATAGAAACAAAAAATGCCATTTTCTTTTGAAGTGGGATAATAAAAGTTGAGCACCAGTTTTGTAACATTTTAAGTGACAAAAGAGCAGAAAAAATGGCATCATGTTAGAACCAGTGTTCTGCATGTCCAGTGTTTTTTTTTTTTTTGTGTTTGTTTCTTATCCCCCTGCGCTCAATATAAACTTTAGAGGAGCAAGAAACAAAAATCAAACGGCATTTCTGACAACTTAAAAAAAAAAACAACTCATCTGGCATGTCAAAAGTGTGAACCAATTACCTTTTGAGGCAACATGATGAAAATTTTACTCTGCCTGGGGGAAAATATCTCAAAGAGAATTTTATTCCAAATATACACTCTGATCGAAGATGTGTGTGTTTGTGTTTGTGTGTGTGCAGGTTCTCGGTGACCGCTGGGCAGCGATTTGCAGATGGACAGAAGAGCGCTGGATTCTGCTTCAGGAGATTCTGTTGAAATGGCAGCACTTCACTAACGAACAGGTAGGACCACAGGTGTATGTAACAGCTGTGACATCATCATTGAGGCAATGTTTTCTTTTTATTACTCTGTTTAATGAGAATCAGTCAAACAAATAAACTCCAATCTCTAATTTTTACTGACTTTTAAAGAGAAGTTAAACTTGTTGAAAAGTACAGTCCTATGGTTAACATCTGTTCTGTGCTATTTAGATAAATTTCCATTACCAAGACTATAAGGTGTAAGGTGTGTAATAAAATGGTGTGAGTTTGAATTTGTACAGAGGGGCCTGATGTTTGACTATTTCTGCTCTTTACAAATCAAAAAAATATCCCAGGATGAAGACACACAGAGTGTATTTATAATGTAATTACTTATTTGATAGAATATCATATAATTTCAAACTAAAAAAAAAAAGTAAACCAGTTGAAGTTCAGTTGCTTTGAAATTTACGTCCATGATGAATGTACAGACACATCTAATAAATTAGACGAAGCTTGCTTTGTCAAATTGAAAGTACATTTTGAAAATCATAACCATAAAGCAAGTTTTAAACATACTTCTCATTAAGTTCACATTTCTGTATTGAAAATATTTTTTGTTGGACTGATATGATATTCCAACCATAAATATTTCCATTAGTAAGCAGAAAAAGCTTGAAAATGAATCTATATGATGTGTGTCTTTTAGTGAATTGAGCTACTCAAATAAATTTTCAAAAATATTCTAATTTCTTTCATATAACTGTATTAGCTGCTTATACTGTTATTTAAAAGAAATGTATAATGTTAATGTTGGATATAAACTCAAGTATCTAACTGAAGTCCTTGCCACTGATGCCAAAACACATGTAGATACAAGTACACAGCTTTAATCATGAGTGTTCACACTTGCAGTAATGTTTTTCTTTAATTATCATGCTACTGCTAGCTGTAGAGCTGTCAAGTGTAGCTAGTTTGCTAGCACATGTAGAGCTAGCAAACTACACTTGCTAGCTCTACAAGTTAATAAACACAGTCATGTTGAACAGTGAGCTGACTGGCCATCAGCCCCACTGATATTTTTGTAAAATAGCAAAACCATCTCCCAAAATGAAATGAGAAGAACTTCTCAGCCACAAAAAATTTCATAGTGTAACCTATGAGTAGAAAGGCAAAAGAAGCATAGATTTGTTTAGGATTTAACTGAGAGTGTTTTGTTTGTTTGTTTGTTTTCCTTTCTACAACTAGTCTGAAAAATACTATAGGGATTTAGGAGCACAACAGCATATATACATGTGGTTGTAAACTGACGACCACTAATGTGGAAAAGTTAATATATTTGTAAGGAAGATTCTAAATTGTTATTATCGAGGTTTTTTGTATTATTATTCAAACCACTAGTGTCTGTTCAGCTTTTGGTGTGTAAGAGTGTTGCTTAAAAATGTGCATGAATTGCGTTTCCACAGAGCGATCACAGCAAGTCCAACCATTTCTGCATGCGGTGCTGCAATCATGTACCAATCCCAAACTGAATAGGCCTGGAATGACCAAACCTTTCATGGTTAATATGCATCATCTTCTGGCAAGAGCAGACTTTGTGAAGAAAATAAAACAAAATTTAATTAAGTGGGTTAAGATATCTGATTTGCTCATGTTTTGTAAGTAATAATTGCAACGTCTAAGATCACAGCATCGGATTAAATGTGATTAACAAGTCAGAGTTAATTAAAACTCAAAAAATAGATTCGCATTGGAACTGCTTGCTTAATTGACTTTGTTTTCTGCCCCAGTGACTCATTTTTATCATTTAAAGTGAAATGTGCCTCAGTGTAATAATTTTTTCTGTTCATTAACCCCTTAATAAAATGGCAGGTTGATGTAAAAAATGAGGACATACCATTAAACTCCAATTAAGTTCTATGTTTAGAAATCACATTATATTATGTTTTTCATCTCTTGAAAGCAAAGGGATTTATTTGCACTTAAAGAATGAAAATGAACCTCGTTTTATTCAATAATTAGCAAAGATGTATTTAAAGATTTGACTTTGACTGAGCCTTTTTAAACTTTTTATTTTCAGCCAATTCTCTGAAATCACGTTCTGCTTCAGTTGTTTTTTCTCAGAACCGGTCAGCTTGTCTTTATTTCTTTAATTCTTCGTACTCTTCCTATCTGCTGTTGTGCTTTGCCTTATTTAACGCCCTAACTGATCTTGGCCTAATTTCTGTGTTGACAGTGTTTGTTTGACTCCTGGCTGACTCAAAAGGAGGAGCTGGTTCGCTCCACCAAGACCTTCAACCTCAAAGACCAGGCAGAAACAGCGGCCTGTTTGCGCCGTCTGTCTGTGAGTTTTTCACACCCTGTCCCTAAACAGAACAAATACCTCCCAGACGGGCGGTATCAAATGTTTTCGTCTTTATTATCAGACGCTGAAGGGAGAACTAGACGCCAAGCTTCCCACCATGGATAAGCTGTGCTCTATGAGCCAGGATCTGTTGTTCAGTGTCAAGAACAAAGAGGTCGCCTCCAAACTGGAGGCCAGACTGGACAGCTTTGCTCAGCGATGGGACCGACTGGTCCAAAATCTGGAGTTGAACATCTCCCAGGTAGGTTGGTCAAACTTTGTATTGGTTGATTTATTATTACACAAAGAAGCAAAGAATTTATTTTTGCATTTTACACAACAGCATCAATTTACAATTTCTAAGTAAGGGTAACTATAGTTTCTAAAAGATCCTGTTTAGTTTGTCTTTTTTGACAGTATGGCCATTATTCTGACATTTCTCAAAGGCCGCCATCACTTTTTAATCCAGTATGTTCAATAACAGAGGTTGAAAGCACAAAAGTACAATAAGAACAACTTGGCTGTAGTCCATTCAGCATTCCTCTTACCTGCATAGAAAACACATTTTCCCTTTTATTTACACCTTCTCTGATTTTGTTTTCTTCTAATAAACATCGGTGACACAGGAAGCAGCTAACTGCAAGGTTTAGTCAAAACGTGCTACAGAAGCCTGAGGCTGACAAATCCATCACTTCTTCCTGTCTGCCCAGCAGCAGCACTTTCCTTCCTTCCCTTGCTCCATCCTTTCCTCTTTTTTTAATCACTTGTCCATTATAATCAGTCAGATGATTAGCGTATTGACCTCTTCGGGTCGACACCTGGCTGTGAACACCTCAGTTTCCATGGCAGCATGGATGTTTCAGTAATTGTACTCAACGTTAAAAGCTCATTAGGCCGTACCTTGGCGAAATAAACATACACACAAAGACACAAAGGCAGGGAATTAGATCTTTCCCGTTTCTTCACCTGGCCTTTTTTTCCTCACCCTGATGCAGAACAGGTTCACCCTTTTCCCCACATTCACACCTGCAGCTTCAGGTTCAACTAAAACCACCGCCGCCTGGCTTGTTTGTCCAAATAAATTCAAATTTCTCCTCCAGCTTTCCTCGGCTGTCGGCACGACCAAGCAGTCTGAGGCCACCCAGTCGGTCACAGCGACCGTTACCAAGGTGACCACCAGGGAGAAGGTGTCGGCTTTGCGCCAAACTCGAGAGTCGCCGCCGCCTCAGAAGAAGAGACAAGTGGTGGTGGATTCTGAGCTCAGGAAAAGGTGAGTGTGTGTCCAGACTCCAGTCGTCCAGCAGGGATTATCTGCAAGACATTTTCTAACTTTATGTGACGTGTTCAGTTTCATGCATCCTTTTCTGCTCTCCTATCTCAGCAGGTAGGTGAATATAGTCAGATCTGGTCCAGTATTAGAAAGTAACGAGTAGATAATAAGGTATTCATCCCCCTTTACTATGTTGCCCCTAAATAAAAATCAACTCATATGTATTTCTGCTTTGTAGCGACTAGTCTGTTGCATTCCCATTCGTTTTCTTCAAACTTGTTTCCAGCCATATTTGATAGGGATGCACGATATTATCGGCATGGTATCGGTATCGGCCGAGATTAGCTTTGCAATTTAATATCGGACAACAGCCACTCCATCAAAATAACTCACTGATGTAAAGGATTGTGAAATTTGTTTGAGCATTGTCATTGTCATAGAGAGAGCAAATTTCATGAATAAATTTAAACATATTGCAAGTTGAAAGCGTTACATCGTTTTCAGTCTCCTTTTTTAGCATTTTGCATTTGGCAGCAGATCAAATTGACAAAGATAACACAATACTTTAATTCCACAGTAAAGAAAGCCATGTAGTTTAAGTAAGTAGGTTTAGGGATAAAATATCGGTATTGGTATCGGTTATCAACCGAATGAGTTTTGGTAAATCGGCATATTGGATAGCGCCCAAAAATCCAATGTTGTGCATTCCTAATATTTGATATATATTTATATTTATAGCATTTTTTTTTAACAACTGAAGTTAACCTGACTGGAAAACACACAATACTGCCCCTTTAAGAGAATTGTTGGCACCAAGGGGGAGAAGACAAAAAGCGATAGAGGAGCCGTCATGGCGCAGCGTTAAACCAGGATAATCCTGAATCTGCATGTCTGACTCCTACTGACCCAACACCTGAGAGTCTGATGCTCTCAGTTGAGCCATTATGGAACCATCTTCACCCAGTTCCTGTCCGCCTGTTAAAACAGCTTCTATCTTAGTTCCACAATTGCGTCTAGATTCCAGAAATCTCCTGTTTTTAAAGCTGTAAAATGGAATAGTTCATATAAACTCCAAACCGTTTAGCGCTTCACACTGAAGCGGCATTTCCAGCAAACTGAACATCTTGTTTCCGTTTTTGTCCTTCTCCCGCATGCGTCATGCCATCAGGTTTGATGTGGACTTCACAGAGGTGCACAGCTACATGACCCGCGGCGAGGCCATCCTGCAGAGCCCCGAATTCTCCGTGTCACGCAAAGACGGCAGCATTCAGGAGCTGCATGACAAAGTCCAGGTAAAAAAAAAAAAAAAAAAGAACAGTTTAGTGCTCAATGTGAGAATAATCCCCCACAGCGTTAGATTCTGCTGAGATCTGAGCTGCTGGGGAAGCATTACCCAGCTGGGGCTGGACGAGGTTTTACATCTCATTTAGCAGTCGGGCCTGGAAGGACTGCTGGAGCTGTGATTATGCAACAAGACAGTGTCAAACTCTGTTTAAAAAGTGTTGGTAAAGTGTTGCCCAGTTTAGTTTAATCAGTTATGCATAAAACATACTTTTAAAAGTTCTAAATCGAAACAGAAAACGACCCAGATAAGAGACAAATAGAAGCAGAAACGACAAGAAGGGTGAAAATCTTTAGGGAAGTTCAGAAGTGAGAAATAGAGGACACTGACCTCAGCTTGGATGTTTGATTTCGATCAGATTTACACACTAAAGACGGTGAACAGGTCTCGGATAAGAATGCAGATGGTATCTGACAACGCCTCATAAAAACCGCGCCCCAAATTAGCAAACCTAATGTCCCGAATAGCCACACATTCCCTTCGCTTGTCAGCCACAGAAACAGGGGGGAGCCATACTTCATGGAAGGTCTTAAAGACTTTACTTTTGTCACAAAGTGAGTTGGCACTTTATGGAGAGCAGAGTGTTAGAATGTAAAACTGTTACAACAACAATAACTGGTATAGATAAGTAAAAAACATGGCCGCTTGGTGTCTATCCAAAGTCTGAAGACGATGTAGAAGCATCCTGATAAAGCAGCTAATACCTCCTTTTTTTAATGCTCAGCATCCATCATGCCTGAGGAGTGAAACAGTTTCTTAGTGACGGTACAGATACTTAGGATAGCACAATTTGTTATCACGACAGGCCTTTGTCCTCTGTGTCGGTCCGTCCTGTGAAATGCCAAGAAAAACATTGAAGTCTGCGCTTCTAAGATGAAATCTGAAATTTTGGAACCCAGCTTTTCCGCCATTAATTACAGCCACCGCTCTGATGTTGAGCCAGTCAGCATCTCTCTGTTGTTCTGCTGTCGAGCTCGTCTCTCTCCTCCTCCGCTCTGTTTGCCACAGGCCATAGACCGAGAGCGGCCAGAGAAGTACAGGAAGCTCCAGGAAGCGACGCGCACGGCGCAGACGCTCGTCGAGCAGGGTACCCGCACACTCTCACACAGGCATGCACACCCGCCCCGTCTGTCCCCATGGCAACGCCTCCACCTGTCCCACCCTCCCCGCTCGTCTCCATAGAAACACCGACGGAGAAACACACAGCGAGAGGGGACAGAGATGGATTTTTTTGTGTCCTCACCTCTGTCCTTGTGTAATTGTTGGTGTCCCTGAAAGCAGAGATCTCAATTTATAGTCGCCTCTCATTCCAACAGTCTGCCAGGCCAGAATAACACTTTTAAAAGTCTTTCCCCTCCTCCCCCAAGCTGTTTTCCTTCCCAAAAACAAATCTAAATCAGAATACCCCCAAAAAAAAAGCAATACATCTGCGAAATTTTGATTAGTTTGGCATAGAGTTTGGTGCATATTGTATCGTTTATCATTTATCGTGATAAATGTCTGCCTGGTGAGAGTTTTGATTTATCATTGTCACAATAAATTCCAACTAACTGTTTGAAAATCTGCAAAACTGTTCATATTGTCAGGATTTATAGTCTTTACTGTTTCCTCAAATGTTTGTTCAGTGAAAGTATTAATAAGTACCAATAAATCTGAAAATCTCACATCACACTTCTCTATGTGACTGGTGTCTTTAAGAAGCACATTAGAAAAACGGGAATGTTTTTCAAGAGCATTATTTGTGTTTGTGGGGCTAAAATTGGTGTGACACACAGTCACAGTCATACAGTTACCTAAAAAAAAGACTTCATAAATAGTTTTTATTGTCACGTAAATGGTTACCATAATAATGCCGTCCTGTTGTGAGTTTTCCCATGTAAACATTCCTAAATCCTGCACCCGACCGCCTGCAGAGGGGAGCCGAGCCGATGACATCGCTCAGGCAGCAGAGCAGCTGAACCAGCGCTGGGCAGGATTCTGCGTCCTGCTGGCCGACCGGCTCACATGGCTGGCCTACCAAACAAAGGTACCAAACAACGACAAATTAGGACATGATGGAAATAATGTTTTTATTAGGTTGTGAAATCATTTTACATGCAAAGTCAGGGTTTCCCCCAGTGTATAATAAGCCTGGCGGGCCACCAGGCTTTACTTGTGAACCCACCAGGCTTAGCATTGCTTATTGATTTAAGATTTTTTATATATATGTTTGCATTTTTTAAGGTTTTATAGTTGGTTTTCAGATATTAATCTTCCAATAACACATAATTATCAAGCGATATTTTCAAATTTCCTGTCAACTTTAAACATTTTTTAAACTCAAAAACACGACGGGCTGCTGGAGGAATGACTGCCCTCACCCCAACCACCGGGCTTTGCAGGTTTTCTGGAGGAAACCTTGAAAGTAATAAATTATTAAAATAAAGTATTAAAAGTGAATTTCTTTGATACAGTGTTTATGTTAAACACATGGAAATAGAAGTCAGTTTTATCTAAATGGTGTTTTGGGGGTTTTTTTGTGCTGCAGGTTTTGGCCTTTTACAGCTTGTACGAGCAGTGTGAGCAGGCAGTGGACAACAGTGAGAACTGGCTCAAAGTGCAGGCACCTCCGGCGTCGGAGCCAGAACCTCTCAAAGTGCAGCTGGACCGATGTCGGGTGAGCGAGGCGACAAGAGGGTCCAACTCAGACGCTTTTCAGCCACCAAACACTACAATGTTAATCTCACCCCACACTACAACATCATTATCGATCTCTCTGTCTACTTCCTACATTTTTTTTCTTGTTCCTTTATCTTTTTTTACTTGTTTGATTCCCCCCACCCCCCTATGCACCTTGTCACAGCTTTATATTGTAAGTACTTCACTATCCACTCATTCTCTTTGGCTTAGAAAACTTTTTTTTCTGCTTTGTAGATCCTTTTGGAACAACTGCATTGCAAAAACACAAAATCCTCTTGAGTAATTTTGGTCTAGTTCCTGTTGCGAATGCCAAACTAACTTACAAATAACTTCCCAGCAAGATATAGGAGTTTGTTTCAAGTCAATAATTCCTTAATATTAAAGAAAAAGTGCTACTTTCATTGGCAGATTATTTAACTCATAAGACATTTTCCCATGTTGTAAATGAAATAATCTGCCAATCGATAGTCAATAATAAAAAAATCCTGATTCTTGGCACGCTTGCTGGAAAGTTACTTCGGAGTTAACTTTACCTTATTTCAAGTGCACTAACAGATTTACACTAGACCAAAAGTATTCCAAGACTCTTTTTTGTTTTTGCAGTGTGAAAAACCAGATCAGTGTTTAAAAGCAGAAACGCTTGTTAAGTTAGCTTCCCCATAGCTCCAGCTGCTAAAATTACAAATATTAGCTCTTTTATTTCGTACTTTACGAAATAGAAGAGCTAATTTGGAAAAAAATCAGAGCATCTGGCTGAAGAGATCATGTTGAGAAGAATCGACTTTTCTTTTGTGGAAGGTTTTTCCTCTCCATACAAACTGAAATGTGTGTCTAATGGCCAAAAGTTACAAGAAGTGTAACCTTATCGACAGCAGAGGCAGACAAACTTTTTACATACCAGCTTGATTATGTTTTGAATAATTAAACTAAAATTTGATGTCAGCACCGTGGTGGGAAAGAGTGTTTATTTCTTTATCGCTGTATTGAATCACCTTCCTGTTAATTACACTGTTAGATGCTTGTAAGCTGAGGATACTGATTGCTGCAGTTTTACAAGAGGAATTGATGTTTGTTGTTGCTGGATACAAGATTTGAGCTGCTCAGGGGTTTCATAATGTTCATGACTCGATTCACCAAGGCACAGGGAAGCTGCACTCAACCCCATGTCGCTTTACTGATCACAGTGGAGTGAAGTGTTCTCATGTAGTGTCACAAAATGTCAACCTGCACTGGCTAAACTCAGATATTTGTTTTTATATTGATTTGTATAATTTTTTGTTTTGTTTATTGTTTTAACTTGTTTATTCATTCTTGTTTTTCCTCCAACATTGAGATCTTCTAATAGATGCAGTGTGTCAGTACACAGAATATTACTGTAAAAATACAAAAAAATGACGAAAAGTTGATAATCACTTGTAGAGCTGAAACAATTAATCGTGAAGAATCGATTATTAAAATAATCGTCAGCAAATTCAGTAACTGATTAATCATTAATTGGAGTATACAGACTTAAAAAAGGTAATTTGCTGAAAGAACACCAGTAGTAATTAAACCAAAACCATTTTAAAGAAATAAATTATATTTTGCATTTGAGATGTTCTACCTATAGCAATTTAATTGCCTAATTTTACCTTCACTTGGTTAAAATACAGTAAGAAAATTCGGTAACACTTTATTTGAAGGGGGGTGAATAAGACTGTCATGATACTGTCATAAACATGACATAACAGCTGTCATGAACATGAATAAGCCTTCATGAATATTTATGACTGTTGTCATAAAGCGTCATTCAGTAAATTATGACATTTTTAATACAAAGTTGACATTATTCAAAATGTCTTTAAGACAACTTGACATTAACCAGGAAATCATTACTGTTTAAACTTTACCTTTAATAACATAAAGTTACCTAATTTTTAAAGTGCAATCAGTAATACTTTTATAACAAATTTATATCAGTAATGATTTATTGGTTAAAGTGAAGTTGTCATAATTTACCGAATGACGCTTTATGACAACAGTCATAAATATTCATGAAGGCTTATTGATGTTCATGACAGGTGTTATGTCATGTTTATGAAAGTGTCATGACAGTCTTATTCACCCCCTTCAAATAAAGTGTTACCGAAAAGTCATTATTTTTGATATCCAATTATTAATCAGTTAATATAAAAAAAATAAAATAAAATACTGTATTGGCTCCAATCAAGCGTTCACTAAAAGAATGCTGTTGTTTAATTTTAGGCAGTAAAATGTTTTTTTTTTTCTTAATTTAAAAATGGATTAAATTATTTATTTGCATCTTTAAATGTATTTCTAATATTGTGTAAAAAGAAAAAAGTTTAAGTGATAAAATGAAAAATCTGCAGAATATCCTGATGTTTTTATCCAATTAATCGATTAATCATCAGAATACTTGATTACTAGAATAATCATTAGTTGCAGCCCTAATGTTATAACACAGAAAACAGTTCTTAAAGGTGGTAGGTACATTTTCTAAACCTTGTAAAAGTGGTTTAGAATACAGTTCAGTCCTGATTCACACTCTTAAAAAACTTCCAAAGCAGAAGATAAATGTAACATTGTTAGCAGCTAACGGTTACAAGTTATGGAGTTCTTTTAGTGCCTACAACTTTTTCAGCTGCGCTACAAGGAATGTTTATTAGTTGGCTTCATCAAAACAGTTTTAAGCTACTTTTACTACAGCAAAAATAAATGCTTCAAACATAAATGTGACGATTTGTCAAGCTAAAGCTCATGTTCTTATCTAGCGTTCTTAAATGTAGCATATGTAGCTAACAAGATGTAGACAGTTGCAACCAGATAGCGGTTTCTTCACTAAAAAAAACAAAATCTTTAAGCTGTGCAAGCTCTTATTACACCTCTAGACCATTGATGTTTAAAGGATTTAATATTGTTGGGCATTGAAAGTTAAAATACTGAACTTTACAAGATCCAACAATGTTCAGGTTTTTGGCTTAAATCTCCTCCACTTTCCTCTGTCCTGTCACCAGGAGGAGATTGCTCGCCTGTCCTCCCTCCAGCCACAGGTTGACCTCCTGGAAAAGCGTCTGAATGAACTGAAAGACGAAAAGGAAGGCGAGGAGGACCCGTCCGCCTTTCTGGATGCCGACATCACTGCCTTCAAAGAACACTACCACAAGGTGCTGGAGGATCTGCGGGCCAGAGAGAGGCAGCTACAGCTCGGTGAGAACGGAAAGATGGTTGTTAGCCGCAACTTGTAGCAAATTGCAGCTCCAGGTGTGCCGTAGAAACTGTGCTTTTAGTCATCAATAACTCAGGTACATAGTTGTCAGCAGCTGCGTTTCCATTACAAGTTTGTGCAAAACTTTGTCAATATCCTCCTATCACTTCCTGTCATCTTCTTCTTGGTGGTTTGCGCCAGCGGCAACATCCGGTTGTTGACCATGTGAAGCTAAATACATCAGTTCTGATACAGCCACATCCCAGGGCCAAACGTTTTTTTTTTTACCGAAAAACGAGTTTTCCTTTGAGCAAATTGATTTTCAAAATGCCAAATTGCAAATACATGGTCAATGGAAACGCAACTATAGTTGAGAAACAAAGGGGGACTGTTTTGATTGATCAACTAACTGATTCATTGCCCGATTGTGTTTGTATTGGCTTATTGTTGGATTGCCTTTGGAGACACAAGGAAACAATAAAAAGGGCAGGAGTCCTTTTTGGCCTCTTGAAATGTTCTCGACAGCAACGACTCGATGCAGTTTAAACAGACGTAGCATCTGCTTTTGTCCTGTAACCATTTTCAACCAAACATTTGATTAAAAACACCCAGAAGGTGGAAGACTGCGTGAGCCTTTTCTGTCTACAAGCTTTGACTATCTTTTCAGCCTCTCTCTTCTTTTCTGCCTTCAGTTTTGGAAAGCTTGCCCCCAGCTCGATATAAAGAGACCATATCTGCATTGTTGGCATGGTTACAGCAGTGCGAAGCCAAACTTTCCATCCCATCAACAGCTGTTACCGAGTATCCCATTATGGAGCAGAGACTCAAGGATCTTCAGGTACTCTGCACACACCAGGACAATATGAAAAAAACCCCCGGAAATAATTAGCTTTTTTGAAGCGGCCAGTTTAGTAATGACTGAAATTAAAGTAAGAAAATAATAAGGAAGACATTTCTGTCTAGCCGTTGTGCCCATGACTTAATGTTCCACTTCAGAACTTTACAGACGTTCATCAGAATCATGAAAAACATAAATTTGGGGGTTTTAGTGCAATAAAGTTCCTTTTTCCAAAGTTTAAAGTTAAACTTTTATCAGAATTCTGACTTTTTTTATTTTTTATTTACATATCTGAATCATTTATGATCCTATCAAACAATTCTGTTGCGTACTGTTAGCAGGGTCTAAATTACCATCCGCTGCTAGTCAGATTCATTTAAATTTGGTCATGCTGCTAGCCAAAGTGGTGGGTTTAAATTGTTTACTGCGCTTCGTTTACAATTCTGCCTTTTTGACCACAAAACAATATGTGAAGAAGCAAAGAAAACATGCTACAAGCAGAATAATCAACAAGTTAGCGTTAGCCTGTCGTTTCCGGTGTAAAAGCTGTGGCTCGGGGGCCATTTTTGGCCACTGAAATAAAGTGAAGGGTGGTAAAAATTTGACCAGCAAAATAAAAAACAATTACTAACCCCAAAAATATTTTTTCTTAATAACTCAACAGTCCTTTTTAATGTTTTGGATCTTTAATAACATACAGATTTAATAACAGTTTGTGTGTTGTTGAGCAGCTAAAACAAACACCAAAGAATCACAGTAAACTATTTTTTTTTTGCATTTTTTATTTAATACATTTTGTAACTTGCAGTCTTAATTCATCCTTCAACAAAGATCCTGAGTAGAGCAAGATGCATGTTTACCTGAGGCTCTTTTGTAGCTGGAGTTCTTTTTGGAAAAGAAATATAACTTTGATTATTTTAGTTTGTTTTTCAGAGAGTCAAATCTTTAAGAATATAAAAATAATATGTTTTTAAACTATAAATTGTAAATGTAGTCTGTTCAGCTCACATCCATACACTGGATTATATATTATTTTTTTATGATCAGAATACCTGAAATTACATCATATTTTTTTGAGTTTGTTAAATTAATCACCTTACATTTGGTTTGTTTTTCAATTAAAATGTAAAAATTTTTATTTATTTACCTTCAGGTGATGAGCTGATTAATCTATATGACTGAATAATAATGATAATGATGACAGTAGGGCCGTTTATGTCCATTTCCCATCCCTAAAAAAAACCCAACATGGGGTTGATGTTTCTGCCAGACTGTGGAAGCCTGTAATCGCTTTTTTTACTATAAGTAGTAACATTTTATCGCCAGCAGTGATGGCAAACAACCAAGGCAGCCAGCGTGTAAAACGATGCTTCCTCTTGCACTTGAAAGTAGCAGGCAGAGGAGAGCATGGCGACCATGCATCATTAGCTGAAAGTTTGGTTTAAGCCTCCGACCTTGGGAGGAAACTGTGTGCATCTGACACAACAGGACGTTACCTGTAAGTTCATTATGGCGGTTGTTAGGGGTGATGGATTTTTTATTTTCCTCCAAATTATTCTTTTAACTACTAAAAAGAAGTTGCTGATTTCACTCTTGACTCATAATTAAAATACTTGGATGAAACTTTCTGAATAGCCCGTTTTTGTACCAACGAGGTTTAGTGGTTTGCTGCATTAATTCCATGACAAATGTTCGCAAAACTTTGACAGTATTCCGCTAATGTAGAAGGAAAAAAAATAATTTTGGAATTTAAAGTTTCCATCAAAGAAGAAACGCAGTTAAAATCACAGATGAATATGATTGTTCACTTGATAAGTCATTAAAAATAATCTTCTAACTACTTCCTGTTGTCATCTTCTTCATGAATATGGCCGAAAAAAACCCAAAAAACTCATCTGTCAGGCTACACGTTTTATCAAAAAATTTGTGGATTTTTTTTTATTTGTTATTTGATCTAATTCCTTTAAGCACATTTTAATTTAAACTGTAAAATAGTGGAAATATAGAAACATATTTCTGTATTTTATACATTTTTAATTTTCATTATTTGTAGCTACAAAAATTTGCATAAAGAAGCATTTTTTTTTGTGCAATTTTCCATCCACTCTTGTAGAAAAAAATCTGGATTTTTATCGCAGCATGAAAACTACGTCAGCCTCGACACAAAACCCGACAGAGTAACGCAATTTAATTCAGAACTTGTGTGTTTGTGAAGCCCAAACACAATCTTTGAGACAAAAACAGAAATCATCTTATGAAATTTGTTTCTTGTTTTGAGTTTGTATTTTATCAGTCAAAAAGAAAATAGAAAAATAAATCTACTTATAATGCAAACAGTCGTCCGGATTCACACGCCGTTCATTATGCGTACCTGGGAGAGGGGAATTGTGTGTGTGTGTGTGTGTGTGTGTGTGTGTGTGTGTGTGTGTGTGTGTGTGCTGTTTTGCTTAGGCCCTTCTTTTGGTAAAACCACTGACCTTGTTTGGACCTGAAGACTTTGTTGGAATCAAAAAGTTGTTTTTTTAGTATTTACTTGGGTGATGCATCAGAAATGAACACAAACCTCTTAACTATAATTTCTCCAATGTTTTGTTCAGGCTCTACAAAATAAAGTAAAAAATCAAACAAAAACACCCTTTATAAGGCTGGCTTTTTAACTAGGGTGTGTGTGTGTGCGTGCGTGCGTGCGTGTGTGTGTGTGTGTGTTTCTATCCACAACCCTGTAATTACAGGAGGCAGATGAGCAAAATCCCACTGGAGCAAGTTGCTGTCTTGGTTTATCTCTATATCTACCTAGAAACACACACACACACACACACACGTTCACACAGGGGTGAGAAAGTCATTACAATCCCAATTTTCATGCACGAAAGAACATTTTGTGACCCAACACATAACAATAATCTATATTTGCTTTCAAAAGGATACATTTTTCATATTAGTCGCATTGATTTGTTTTTATATTTCAAATGAAGTGAAGATTACATTGTAGCTGCAAGTGTGCATGGAGTGTGTGCGTGTGTGTATGTCGGCTAAATTTACTTTTACTGTAGCCTGAGCTTAATTAGAGTAGCAGATAATAATTAGGGATTCATCCTGCATGCTGATAAGCTTTTATTTATTCAGTCCAACTGTTTATCCTCTTGTAGCCTATAGCTCTCATTATATGGGAAATAAATGAGGTTTTTCCTCAGGTAGGGGTTCTTATTTTTATTCCCACACCTTTTTTTTTTTTTTTAAGAAAACATAGATTAAAGACGCCAGCTGAGATAAGTGAAAGCATGATCCAGATGGATTATGACACAGTGAATCCACAGCTCCTTAAAGGATTCATCACTTCCATAATTCAGTCATTAGACTCAACAGCATCCACTTTCACAAGAATTTTTTTTTTCTTTTTTGCAGTGCAGGGATGTAAACAGAAAGAGGGGATAAATGACTTTGAGTTGGTGTTCATTAAATCTGCAGATAGTTTCCCCCTGTTGTTCAGTACAAATGAATTTCACAATGCGAACTCGGTTAGAGAAAAGAAAGTGACTGGAGACATGACGTTCACAAAATATTCCGCTCGTGTGAAACGGGATTATTGAACTGCGTGACATAACTTTATGAGAGATGTTATCCGATTTGATTTTGTGGTGATGCTTAAATATGTCTGGGACAAACTGAAGGTCTGCATTGTGATGCTGATGAAGATTTTTCAAGAACTTAGTTTAAAAAAAGTAATCTCTGGATCATATCAGGTGAACATGTGGCTCTTAGACAATTTCTTGATTGTTAAAAATGAACACTAGAATCCTCAAAAAACTCAGCCAGGCCACAGTCTATTTGAAAAAAAAAATGCTCTGCAGCTCAGGACACGGCTTTCTACGGGTCATAAGGACCAAAAAGTTCCTTCAGGAATAAGATAAAGTTCCTAATTGGGTTTTTCAGAAGAATGCTTGTTTGGGGATAACTGTTAGCCAAAGGTTAGTTTACAGCCTTCCAACTACTTGCTGTAATTTATCATCTAGGGTGCTTTTCCACACTACTGTGTAATCTTACCAACCATTTTATTACTAGTTTCAGGTTAGACTTCCTTTTTACCTTCAGTAAGGTAGTTGGGGATCCCCTCTGCTTCTGTTTTAAATTAATTAAAGTGAAGGAGATTTTAATTCATCCAGACAAAACAAACATGAATTACCACCTCCCATCCTTATGGGTCAATAGATCTGAATATAACTGGCAATGCAGTAGTTATGTCTAATAAAACTTGAACCCAAAGGCGACATGCATGATGAAAATGACACAGGGCCTAAAATGGAGCCTTGTGGAACTCCACATGCTTTTGTTGTTTCCACGTGGTTCAAACTATGACAGGAGGAGTCTGAGATCTATGGTGTTAAACAGAGCAGAGTTTCCAGTTAGCAGCTGTTTTAGTGATTTGATAGCATTTAAAAACAGACTGGAACCTTTGAGAATTTCAATTATTGTCCAAAAAAATGTTTCAACCTGAATGAAATCATTTTCCTCCATAACCTTGGAAACGGCCCCATTGAGGATCAGCACCTCAGCTTGTTTAAAGGCAGCCTGCATTCAGAGACGTTTATCAGCGACAGAACATTTGACCCAACACAGCGGAAAACCTCTTTAAAAACAGAGTTTAAAACATTGAAGAGACTCTGAGGCCTCTGGATGTTTAATAAGGCAAGATTAGAGAGATCGTTTGACTTTTTATTCTTTAAAGCGTTTTGATAATTTAATCAGCAGTTCTTTTTAAAATCCCTAGAGGAACATGTCGTTATTTTCCATTTTCGCTCAGCTCAACTACAATCGCGACTCAGTGCACAAATGGATTGTTGCGATTAGACTCGACTGGAGCCATAGTGACCAAATTGTCTGTGCAGGTAAACGTAGAAGTGAGCTTCTCAACACCCGAGTTGAAACCAGCATCCAATCATTAAAAGCAGTGGGGAACTGTGAGGCAGTACAGTGAATTTATCTGACAAGAATGATGTGACTGAGGAACAGTTTTCACTGAAGAGAGGGAATCTGTAAATACAACAAGGAAATGATCGGAAATACCTGTTTGACAGATTTCATGAGACAACAAAAGGTCGAGAAAATCAATCGGATGCTCTTTGAGAACGGTTTGGAGATGTTCCTCTTTAGCTCCAACATGACTGAACGCCAGTGCACAAAATGTGTTTGGTGATTTTCATGGACAAATGGTTAAAATCTTCTAAAAATATACTCCTAAGCATTGCAGACTACATTCCAAGAAGAGTTAAAACTGTTGTAGCTGCAAAGGGTGGACCTAGGCCATATTAAATAAAAAGACAAGTGACCCAATACTTTGGGCAATTAGCGTATTTCACAGATGTTTTTACATAACATTTTTGATGGTGAATTAATGGTTGAGTAAATTCTTTATGTCTGAACCACATAATATAAAATTACCTCATGGAAATGCAAGCGTGTGTCTAAGTTCTCTACATTTCAGGCAAAATCATTTGGGGAGGGATTTCAAATAGTTCCATAATGCAAGCCGAGAAAAATTAAAGTAGCTAAATTTCTCAGTTCTGTAGTGCAGACACTAGAAATTGTACTTTATCAAGAACCTAATGTGGCGCACTTTTTCCAAAACTCTCTGACTCGAACTCTTTACACATTACGGTATCTGTGTGTTTGACACCATCTCAAAACTGGGCCCAGATTTCCCTCCGTGTGTTTATCACCACAAAGCAAAATGTCTTCCTACAGACAGGCCTCTTCACAACTTACTTTCTTGTTCATTTCTTTGTCTTCTCGGTCTCACGTCGTCCATCTCTGCCTCCCTCTCAGGCTCTCCAGGCGGCCCTGGCTGAACACCAGGGTGAGATCGACTACCTGACTTCAGCTGTTGAGCAGGTCTTTCAGAAAGCTCCACCAGACATCAGCCAAAAGTAAGACAAAGGAAGATCATACGTCATTGTAAGGGTAAAGGTAACATAGAGACAACGGTCTCAAGCACCTTTAGCTAAAAAATCAACATGATAAATAAAGGTGGGCAACTAAGATCCATATTGTGACGTTTAGGGAAACACAAAGACTTCAATGACTTGAATTTTGAAGGGACACTTTGGTTGACTGACAATCTGCGATGGCTACACAAGTTTCTCTTGTGTTGAAGGTATCGCCTAGAGATAGACGCCATAATGGCCCGCTGGAGACGACTGGGCTCCACTCTGACAGACAGCGTCCAGAGAATCCAGGAGCTCATGGCCAAACTGATGCAGTTTGAGGTGAGACTCAAGAGACGGATCGTGTTTTCAAGATTTGTGCAGACCGAACAATGTGTGTCTCCTGCTCTCACTTCCTGTCTACTTCTCTCTGCTAGAATGACGTAAAGACTCTGAAAAAGTGGATGGCAGATGTGGATGTGTTTCTGAACGAGGAGTGGCCCGCTCTGGGAGACTCTGAGGCTCTGGAGAAACAGTTAGAGCAGTGCACAGTAAGAAAACAAGTGTCCAGGCACGATTTTTGGATCAAACTGTCTCAATCCATAGATTCCTGTTCTTTGCGCGCTGTACCTTGACCAGGCTCTGGTGAATGACATCCACACCATCCAACCCAGCGTGAACGGAATCAACGAAGTGGGTCTGTACCTCAAGAAAGAAGCAGAACCACCCTTTGCCATCCACATCCAGAAAGAACTGGATGAACTGAACATGCAGTGGGAGAATGTATGCAAACAGGTACGCAACAACAACCACCACCACACACAAAGTCGTCTTCAAATTTCTGCCATCCAGTTTGCATTCACTTCCCTTCTCTGTGTAGGCCTATGCAAAGAAGTCAGCCTTGAAAGGGGGCCTTGACAAGACCATGGCGTTGAGGAAGGAGATGCAGGAAATGCAAGAATGGATAAACCAGGCCGAGGAAGACTATCTGGAGAGAGACTTCACATACAAGACACCCGAGGAGCTGCGCAAGGCAGTCGAGGAGCTCAAGGTGTGTTTGTCAATGTGTAAGATCACAAGACATGGAAAATTCAACCTTTATATTGATGATAATCCATGTAAAGATTGTTTCATTGTTGATGCCGTAAAGGACTCAAGGTATGCGTCCCAAACAATCAAAAGGAAGATTAATCCGAGAGTCTTAACTTTAGTTTCTGCTGTCCACTCTTGTCTCTAAGTTTTCTTGGACACACTTCTATGTGACTTGTGTCCAAAAGTCTTCACC